TAAAAATAAAACATGACATGGCATAATGTCTATTTGTGGCCTCTTCACAAAGTCAGACTTAGAGGGGAACAGAAAAAAAAGCAACAGCTCGAACCAAAATAACATTCATAGCAGAAATAAAAGCTAAAAATGAAACTTTAAAAAAATCACTGGCACAGAAGTTTAAATAATCGATAGCATGCATTTAAAATTGCACAATGGGTTTACACAGCATGAGTGACTACTTTATAAATACAGGCAAAGAAATGTGCAAGCGCTCAGCTAAATGAAACTCTTTACATAGACATTAAGGCATGCTGCATTCATTCAGATGGGGAGGGCAGGTCTAAGCTTACTCCTCCAGAATTGTCATGATGAATCTGCCAGCAGCTCTCACATATAAAGATCAACATTTTGTTGTCATAATACGCTATATAAATCCTGTATAATAATAATACCGAAGAGCAGGAGTGACAAATATGACAGTGCCTTCTAATTCAGAATTGGTGAGTCCCTGGAGAGAGTCTGTGTATTTCAATTGTTAGAGGGATACCCCAGATGTGACAAGAGCCTAGGAATACCAAGGACTGTGCATTGTGGAACATAATGGGCTTTTTATTAGACTTCTCGTTGGAATTTCTAGAACTGGGCAATGTACTTTTTAGATCTCAACAATGGACTGAATCCTGTATATTTTATTTTACTGGATTAACAGGATCTAAGAAATTAGGCCTTATGTGGCCTAGAGAGAGAGAGAGTCCCAATAATTCATAAAAATCAAGGCATTAAGTTCACATACCAGCGATGGGCTCCGGTCTGGTTTTTGTAAATACTAGAAATCCTCTAGTGATGCTTACACTGTGATATAATAATAAAATATTCACATAAGAATCCAAGATTTTTTTTTTTTAAAGGAGAACTATGAGGTGAGTGCTTTTCACTGAAAACATAACTTAACTCTGGTTTATCACACCTGAGTTCAATTTCTCTAGCCACACCTGTTTGCAATCAAGAAATCACTTAAATAAGACTTGACTGACAAAGTGAAGTTGACCAAAAGATCCTCAAAAGCTACACATCATGCCGAGATCCAAAGAAATCCAGGAACAAATTAGAAAGAAAGTTATAGAGATCTATCAGTCTGGAAAAGGTTATAAAGCCATTTCTAAAGCTTTGGGACTCCAGCGAACCACAGTGAGAGCAATTATCCACAAATGGCGAAAACATGGAACACTGGTGAACGTTCCCAGGAGTGGGCGGCCAACCAAAATTACCAAGAGAGCAGCGACGACTCATCCAAGAGGTCACAAAAGACCCCACAACAACATCCAAAGAACTACAGGCCTCACTTGCCTCAGTTCAGGTCAGTGTTCATGACTCCACCATAAGAGAGAGACTGGGCAAAAATGGCCTGCATGGCAGAGTTCCAAAACATCTTGATGATCCCCAAGACTTTTGGGAAAATACTCTGTGGACTGACGAGACAAAAGTTGAACTTTTTTGAAGGTGTGTGTCCCATTACATCTGGCGTAAGAGTAACACCGCATTTCAAAAAAAGATCATCATACCAACAGTAAAATATGGTCTGGGGTTGTTTTGCTGCTTCAGGACCTGGAAGACTTGCTGTGATAAATGGAACCATGAATTCTGCTGTCTGCCAAAAAATCCTGAAGGATAATGTGCGGCCATCTGTTCGTGACCTCAAGCTGAAGCGAACTTGGGTTCTGCAGCAAGACAATGTTCCAAAACACACCAGCAAGTCCACCTCTGAATGGCTGAAGAAAAACAAAATAAAGACTTTGGAGTGGCCTAGTCAAAGTCCTGACCTGAATCCTATTGAGATGCTGTGGCATGACCTTAAAAAGGCGGTTCATGCTCAAAAACCTTCCAATGTGGCTGAATTACAACAATTCTGCAAAGATGAGTGGACCAAAATTCCTGCACAGCGCTGTAACAGACTCACTGCAAGTTATCGCAAACGATTGATTGCAGTTCTTGCTGCTAAGGGTGGCCCTGTCACAGTTCAGCTGCCGACTTGCAGCTGAGCTGTTACTTGTAGTTCTACAAGGATATACATACCTCTTACCCCTGGTTCTGCAGGCATGTAGGGCTGTGGTGGTGCTTGTAGTCCTCCAGACATGCGCTCTAAACCTGACTCACACTTGCACCTGTCTGCAAGCTGTAGGCGTCGGCCGACCTCTCCTGCTGTTTCTTATGCAGCTTCTCGGCCAATCAGTGCAGTTTGCATATAGCAAATGCTGTGGATCCTCTCTCTTCCGGTCTCTATTTAAACCCAGGGCAGCGAACGGCACGCTGCCTGAGCAACGCTTTCCCAAGCTTGTTGCCGAGTCCCCCATTTGTGATTTACCCTGAATTCCTGGAAGTTTTCTCGTGTACCGAACCTTTGGCTTGTCCTTGGAAATCTCTGTCTACAGTCTGCCTTGCGCTTCACTTTTGTCCTTGGAAATCCCTGTCTACAGGCTGCCCTGTGCTTCGCTTTTGTCCTTGGAAATCCCTGTCTACTGGCTGTCCTGTACTTCACTTTGTCCCTGGAAGCCTTTAGCCTGTATCTAACCTTTGATTTGTACCCTATACCTGTTAGGTGAGTTGGGTGGTCCTAGGGATTGTGACCTGGTGTCAGCATGCAGCCAAGCCCATCTCCACCATCAGGAGCCCTGGTGAATACTGTCTGGCTCTTAGATTCCACATCCTGGGGGACCCCATGGCACCTAATCAGCATTGCAGCACCCTGCCTTGTATTTGAACTTCCAGCTTATGCTGACTTCCACTGCCTCATTCACATATCTGCTCTGTTCCCTGCTTGTACTCCAGCTCTGGGAGTCGTCAGCCTCCACTGCTTGGACCCTTTTCTCTAAGTGTCCCTGCCAGTGGAAAGGGTCCACATACCTGACTCCAGTTTATACATGTGAGTCCCAATCCATGACAGGCCCAACCAGTAATTATGTTTAGGGGGCAAACACTTTTTCACACAGGGCCATGTGGGTTTGGATTTTGTTTTCCCTTAATAATACAAATCTTCCTTTAAAAACTGCATGATGCGTTTACTTTCTTTGACTAATATTTAAATTTGTTTGATGATCTGAAACATTAAAGTGTGCAAAACAATGAAAAATCAGGAAGGGGGCCAACACTTTTTCACACAACTGTATACTGTACATGACCAGTTATTTGCTGTTCTACAATGGTGGTAACCGCTGAGAATCAGCAGTTACCATTCATTAATGGATGCCTCAGTATAGAGGCATCCATTAATGAAAGAGTTAACCTTTTTCAGACACCCGATCCCTTTCAGGAATCGGGTGTCTGAGAGTGAGAGCAGAGTCGCATTTGCAGCTCTTGCAGTCACTCGGACAGCTGGTATAGATTGGGAAATCCCGATGTATACCAGCTTTTTTGAATTGATTTTTTAAACTTTCAGCAATAGAAACATAATGTTTCTATTCTTCAAAGAATGTTGCAGTTTTCTGATCGTTGTTGGAACGATCAGAAAACCTTGAGGCTGGGTTCACACCTAGGCGTATTGAATATGCGCGTTTGTTGCGCGTTTCGCGTTTTTACCGCGATTCGCTGTAAAAAAAACGCGCGACAAACGCCCGTTTCCAAGGGCTACTTGGCTGTATCCCAATGGAAACACGACACCAAAACGCCCCAAAGAAGTACATGTACTTCTTTGGGCGTAGGCCGTTTTGTATCGCGTTCGGACGGGTGGAAATACGGCAAGGTGTGAACCAGACCCATTGAATACAATGGGATTTAGATGTTTGAGCGTTTTGTAGAGCGTTCGTCGAGCGTTGAACGCGCTACAAATTGTTCAGGTGTGAACCAGGCCTGAGTGACAGCTGATCCTGAAATGCTGCAGGATCAGTGACTAAGGTTATTATTGACTGTTCTTAAGTTTGAAGCAGCCTAATAATACCCAAAAATGTATTGATTAATTTATCAAGCAGTAATAGTGAGATTAATTCACAATGACTGCTTGATATAATTAAATAAATAAAATAAAAATGTAAAAACTTTGAAAAAATACTGAAAAGTGTAAAAAAATTAAGTGTAAAAAAATAAAAAATAAATGTAACAAATAAAAATGATATATTTAAATATATTTTTATACAATCATTTATATAAAAATTAACAGAGCAGAGCTGCAGATTTGTTTTTCACCCT